CAGGGAGGACAAGGAGCTGCTGGAGTGAGTCCAGGGGAGGCCACAGAGATGATCCAGGGGCTGCAGCCCCTCTGCTCTGGAGACAGGCTGGGAGAGCTGGGGGTGTTGAACCTGCAGAAGTAAAAGCTCCAGGGAGACCTCACAGCCCCCTCCAGGGCCTAAAGGGGCTCCAGGAGAGCTGGAGAGGGACTTTGGACAAGGGCCTGGAGTGACAAAACAAGGCACTCATCAGCTTCCCACTGCCAGAGGCAGGGTTAGGTGGGATAGTGGGAAGGAATTCCTCCCTGTGAGGATGGTGGGGCCCTGGCACAGGGTACCCAGAGAAGCTGTGACTGCCCCATCCCTGGAAGTGTTCAGGGACTTGAAACAACCTGGTCTATTGGAAGGTGTCCCTGCCCAAGGCAAAGGGGTGGAATGGGTTGATCTTTAAGGTCTCTCCCAGCCCAAAGCAGCCTGTGACTCTTTGAACTCTATGGAATATGGCATAACCTGGAGCACAGAGCAGTTTCTTTCACACAGATGTGAACAAGAGTGTTATTATATGACCTGAGGGATTAGAGAAAAAAAACCTGAAGAAAATTACTACCACCTTTGCCTCTTACCTGCAGAACAGAAAACAATTCCATTTTACAGTGGTGAGCTATTCTGTGAATTGGTAGAATCAGTGGACAGAGTGTTCCCTTCCGAGGAAAACCCAGTGCACTTTCCAAAAATACTCCCAGAATTTTGCATTTCTGTAGTGGTTTGTCACACAGAGGATTTTTGGTGAATATATGGGAATAGAATTGTGTGTGAGGGAGGGACTGAGATAACATTACAGCGAGGGTTAAGTTCCATCCTGCTCTCTTATTTCCTTATTAGTGCTAAAATCTGTAGCACAATTACCCACAGCACTCCATTTGGCAGCTGCTCGTTGTTAAGTAAACACATATTCCCATCAGATAAATACACTTTGGTGTCATAAACTCACATGGCCACCACACACAGCCTCGCTTCCAGCGTCCTCCTGTCTCCTGTGCAGATGGTAAAACCTGAAATAAAACACGAGGTTTGCTCCCAAGAGCCATCAACAACGTCTTGATAACATGGTTTTCATTAAGAAATGCAGCTCTATTTTAAAAAAATTATTAAACTGGGGATTAATAGTAGAAGCACTCCTAAATTGGTTTGGAAAGCTGAAAGTTGCCTTAGGCTTTGTCCCAGAGCAATGAGAGGGGCAGCAGTGCTGATTTCTGTAACAGACTCATGTTGCTGTTGCCAGAGCCCAGATTTCAGTGAGGAACAGGCAAAGGGCAGTGGCAGCAATGGTCACTGTGAAACTTTTCTGGGAGTGAGGACTGAAGCAGAACCGTTCTCATTCTTCATCCTCGAAGTATCCAAATCATTTGACAACTGATTCCTGAATCCAAACACTCCACGGTGAAAAAAACCAGCAAGCAGCAGAGAAGTCTCACAAAGGCAATCCTGACAGAGGCTTTCCCAGCTCTGGGGCCCACTGCTCTTAGTCTGCAGTTGAGTTAACTGGTGTGATTTAGAGAGAAGCCCATCAAGCGGAGAAATGCCAGCTTCAGTTTTTAAATCACTGCATTTGCAAGCTGCTTCTACCTTAAGACTTAGCTGTCCACTGCCAGTGGGATGGATGCTGTTACAAAGAAAGAGTATATTCCTGCAGAAAAAGGAAACATAAGGGATTTCTAATTGAGCTTATAATTTACTTTGCCTAAAAATCCAGCTGCTACAACACAGTGCAATTAGGGAGAGCAAATGGGCAAACGTGAGCATCCTTGTTGTAGTGCAAGAATTTTCTCTTGATTTTCATTTTATCAAAAGAGAATACAGATATCCTCAGAGCACCCAAGAAACTACTCAGGGAAGTTGAAGCATTTGGAGAAACTTGGAACCAGGCTCCAAAATATCCTGTTTGCCTTTACAGTCTCTTTTACTACAAATCAGATTGGTCATAGCTAGGAAAGAGGATGGGGACACACTGGGAGCTCAGATCCAGCTGGAGCTGTGTGTCAGGGGACTCTGGTGGGCAAAGAGAGGGCAGTGCTGTGCCAGGCACAGTGCCCATCCTCAGTGCCCAGCTGCTGGAGGAGCACGAGACCCTCAAGGTGCCATAAGGCACTGACAGCAATGTTCAGTCATCGTGTTTAAGGGCAAGATCTAATTCTGTAAAAGAACTTTTTTGTTTTATTCTGACTGTCCCTCAGCTGCAGGTTTTGGTGTTGACACCAGTGAACAGCAGGAGCTCAGAAAGCAGCCCTGTGTCCTGCTGCCCAGCACAGGCAGGAGAGCAGCCCCTCAGCCCCACTCCTGATAGATTTCCAGCAGCCTCTTGCACTGCCAGGCCACTAAACCAGGTGAGAGCTCCCTGCCTCACAGCCACAGCCATGCCCAATCCCTCCCCTGAGCTCAAGATTTCTAGCTTGGTGGCCAGGGTCAGCCAGGGCAAGTCTGGGCATCAGATGAAAGCTGGCATTTGGGGCTCTGAGCACTTGCAGGGACCTAGATTCTGGCAGCTTTAGTTTTGGAGAAATCCAGCAAAATTTGGGAATTTCTAGCTTGGGTGGCCAGGGTGGGCCAGGGCGAGTGGCCGCAAACAGAGGCTATTTTCCAGGGGAAATAGAAGTCCTTTGCCCAGGCTCTGGGGATCAGATTGTTTTCAAGATGGTCCCTTCTGTTCTCCAAACCTTCCCCAGGTCAGGAAAATGCAGCTTTCCAGTGTCTAAAGGGGCTCCAACAAAGCTGGAGAGGAGCTTTGGACAAGGGCCTGGAGTGCCAGGACGAGGGGGAATGGTTTCACACTGCCAGAGGGCAGGGCAGGGTTAGATGGGATTGCCATGGTTTGACACTGGCCCAATTCCAGGCACCCAGGAGAGTCACTGGTTCACCCTCCCCTGCCACAGCTAGAGGAGAGAAAAAAATTAACATAGGGTTTTATGAACTGAGATAAGGACCGGGAGAAAACACTTCAAGGGCAAAACAGGCTCAGCTTAAGGTTGCAAAGTGAATTTATTACTGTCAGAATTAGATCCCCCAGCCCCTCCCTCCTTCCCATTGGCAGTGCAGGGAAACAGGACACGGGGGTTTTTGGGTCAGTTCACCACCCAAGTTCTTCTGCTGCTGCTCAGGGAGAGGAGTCCTTCTCCTGTGAGACCACGGGGTCCTCCCACGGAGACAGGAACTTCCCCAGCACGAGTCTGTTCTCACGAGCAGCAGCCCTGCTGCACCTGCTGCAAGTGAATTCCCCAGGGGCACACAGCCCTCCCAAAACTGCTGCAAGCTGAATCCCCCCAGGGGCACATAGCCCTCCCAAAACTGCTGCAAGGTGAATCCCCCCAGGGGCACACAGCCCTCCCAAAACTGTTGCAAGGTAGATCTGTCTTCCCACGGGGTGCAGTCCTCCAGGGCCAGGCTGCTCCAGCCTGGGAGCAGGGCCTCCTCTCCACCAGGTCTCCCATGGGAGCACAGCCTCCTCCAGGCATCCACTGCTCCAGCATGGGCACCTCTGCCGCGGGCTGTGGGTGGATCTCTGCATTCCCATGGATCTCTGCATCCCCCATGGATCTCTGCATTCCCATGGATCTCTGCATCCCCCATGGATCCCACGGGCTGTGGGTGGATCTCTGCATCCCCCATGGATCTCTGCATTCCCATGGATCTCTGCATCCTCCATGGATCTCTGCATCCCACATGGATCCCAGGGGCTGCAGGGGCACAGCTGCTTCACCTTGGTCTTCGCCACAGCCTGCAGAGGAATCTCACTCCAGCACCTGGAGCACCTCCTGCCCCTCCTCCTGCACTGACCTTGGTGTCACCATGTTGTTTTCCCTCACATGTTCTCACCTCCTCCTCTTCTCTGACTGGGAGAAAACGGTGTGACTTTGTTTTAATTCTTAAATATGTCATCACAGAGGCACTACCAGCCTCTCTCATTGGCCCAGTTTTGGCCAGCAGCATCTCCATCTTCAGAGCCATCAGGGATTGACTCTGCTGGACATGGTGGAAGCTTCCAGCAGCTTCCCACAGGAGCCACCTCTGTGGTCCCCCTGCTACCAAAAACCAGGCTATGCAAAACCAATACAGGGATATTGGGAAGAAATTTTTCCTTGTGAGGGTGGTGAGACCCTGGCACATATTGCCCAGAGCAGCTGTGACTACCCCATCCCTTCAAGTGTTCAAGGCCAGGCTGGATGGGGCAGGGCTGGACCCATTCCTGTGAAGAAATTTTCTCTAATATCCAATATAAACTTCCCCTGGCACAACCTGAGGCCATTTCCTCTTGTCCTGTCCCTGTTCCCTGGGAGCAGAGCCTACCCCTCCTGGCTGCACCCTCCTGTCAGGGAGTTGTGGAAAGTCAGAAGGTCCCCCCTGAGCCTCCTTTTCTCCCCCTCCAGCTCCCTCAGCCCCTCTTGGGACTCCAGCCCCTTCCCCATCTCCATTCTTTTCTCTGGATGCATTCCAGCCCCTCAAGGTCTTTCTTGTCATGAGGGGCCCAGAACTGACCCCAGGGTTTGTGGTTCCTCAGCAGTGCCCAGCACAGGGGACGGGCACAGCCTGGCCCCAGGGCCACACCACGGCTGGTACCAGCCAGGTGCCCTTGGCCTCTTGCCCAGCTGGGCACACACCAGCTTATGTGCAGCTGCTGCCAACCAGCACTCCCAGGTGGTTTCCAGCTCTCCAGACTCTTTTCCCTAAGCCTGGAGCACTGCAGCAGGCTGTGGTGACCCAAAGACAGTACCTGGCACTCGGCCTCGTTGACTGTCCCACTACTGGATCCAGCTTTACAGAGCCCTCTGCAGAGCCCTCCAGCAGACTAACACTTCCACCCAACTCAATGTTGTCTCCAAACTGACTGAGGAACTCATCAGCACAGTCCTGCTTCTGCACTCCTGCCCTGGGAAGTGCTACTTACCCTGTGCCTGGTGCCACCCCCAAGGCAAGGGCACGCACACCAGTCTCCATCCCGCACAGTGAAGCCCTGCAGCCAGCAGCCATGTGGAGGGATCAGTTTTTATTTCAAAAGACAGTAACACAATTTTTCAATTTAGTATCAAAACACTGGATATGGTTTTTGTCTCCAGATTGGCCCCAAAAACTGCTACAACCAGGCAGCATGCTCAAACCACAAGCTACACGCTGCGAGCGTGACGTCGCCACGCTCACGCCTCACAACACGACACATCAGCAATGCACAGCGACATGGCTTGGACTCAATTAAGACAATAAGAGCAGTCCTGGGCAGGAGGGAAGGCTTGGCTCCCTCCCTCCAGGTAGGCAAAAACACTTCTCCAAGGACACAAGGCTGTTGTACTTAAGTTGTTAAGTGTAACCCAGTGATGAGCAGTGAAGCTTGGTGCATCAGCACTTAGTGAAGGCAAAGTCAGCTCCAGGGTAGGAATGGGTTACAGGGACAGGGACTTCTCTAAGCCCTTCAGGTGTGGAGGGGAAGGGACACAATCCCTGTGAAGGTTCAATTGGTTCAATTGTTCATATGACTGGCTTGGCTTAAGGAAAAAAAAAAAAACAACCCCCCAAAAAAGACACCTTTCACCCAAGTTGTTCCTTCCCAACATAGAGCTACCTTAAAGCTGAAAAACTGAACTGTGCTTTTGGCAAACAGCTCCTGGAAAAGGAAGTTCTCTCAACAGGCTGTCACCCTAGCCTGGCTACTCTGACTCACAGAACCATCATATCCGTTTCCTGCCCTGCCAAAGCAGGGTGGCCCAGAGCTGATTAACACAAGGCTAATACCAAGTTCTAAAGCCAAGAGCTCTGAAGTGTAGCTCACCAGCCTCACACGTTATTTGGAATGTTTATAATGGTCGCTACAAAAAAAGGTAGTTACAAAATGTGTACATCTCAAACATGCTCTCCAAACATTATTGCATTGTTTACTTCCCTTAATGATGCTGTTTGAAGCTCTGCCCAACCTGGTGGCCTTTAACCCTGGAACAAAGGAGATTTGTGTTTGGTCAAGTTGGCAACAGAAAGTAAACTCTGGTCCCAGGGTTAGAGGGCAGCAGCAGCTGGGCTGGCACCGCAAGGCAGAGGCAGTGGCAGGGATCCATTACATCTCATTCAGGTCTAGCAGGGTCTGGTCCAGCATTCTTTGCGTGCAGAGATGCTCCTCTTTGGTGGATTTCAGTTTATCTGCCAAGAACAAGAGTCCAGAGTTACAAATCAGCATCAAACAACGCAGAGTCCTTTGCCAAAGAAAGCTTGTGCCAGCCCCTTCCCCACACAGAGCTGCAGCGATCCTCGGGCCGGAGTGCCTGGCTGGGTGCAGCTGGAAGCTTTGAGGTTACCTGGCTCGTGTGTAGCCCTCGCCTCTCACACTGCTGGTGCTCCCAGTATGGCCACGGTGCACCTTTAGCCAGAGCTCTGGTCAGTGTTTCACATGCAGGCGTCTCTGACTGCAGCCAGCTCTTCCCAGGGCTTCCACACCTCCACAGCTGACACACGTGGCCCAGCAAGGCACCCAAGAGCAACACACCCCTGGAAGTACAGCTGGTTGTGCCCCCCTTCCCTCAGCACGGGGCAGGGATGCCAAGGCCAGCAGCAGGGAGCAGACCACCAGCCCGAAGGGCAGCGGGGCAGGAGCTGGGGCAGTGCCAGGCAGAGTGAGGAGTGAGGGAGCTGCACCCTGCCCGACACTCCAGGCAGCTGTGCAGTCAATTCTCACATGTTCCTTAAGCCAGGAGGAGAGCAGATCAGCAGCTAGTGCTCTAAGTAGGCTTTACTCCAAAGGTGAGCCCACCCATATCACTGGAGACATCCACACGCTGGGACACTGGACAGACAGGCTGTGGAAAAATGTCCTTTAGGTAGAGGCAGATTGCCAAAGCCACTCCCAACCTCCCCAGGGCCAGAAACTGCACAGAGAGAGAACAGCCTTCCTCGAGCATGAGCAACAGCAGCATATAAATACTCCCTGCAGGCACCCAGGACACAACTTCAGGCTGTGCATTTTGGCACTTGCTGTCAGGATGTCTGTGAGCTTTCCCAACCCATTCCAGGGCTCTGTAGCTGCACCGGGGTCAGGCCTGGGAAATTACTGCTGCCCCCAAACCTTCTCAGTTAAAACTCCTGTTTAAAACTAAACAGGAATGTACTACAGATGTGCAGTGTCTCACAGACCACGAGGTCAGTCCTTTATTGGTAGAAGCCATCATTCCATGCACCAGGAAATCCTACAGTCATTCAGCTAACAGTAAATTAAGTTGCAGCACTTGACAGCAGCTTCAAGCAGACATAAGTCTAACTTCAGCCCACCCTCATTTGGGGGGTGCAGCAATTCTGGTTCCATGGAGGAGCCAGGCAGGACCCCCTGGACAAGCAAACAAGACTGGTCAAAACACAGCCAAGTCTGGGGGTGACTTCACCAAGAATAGAGGTTACCTTTATATATTAAAAAAAGCTTAAATAAATTACAGGATAAATCCAAGTGCCTCATTAAAAAGCAGCAATTGCATAAAATTCGCAAGTCTGCCAGTGTTAATGATCAGATTTCACTGTGGTCCACAGCACTGGTGTCGCAATAAGCTGTTTAATGGGATTAGTGGGCCCCTTCTCAGTCACACAGATCATGCAGCATTAACTTCAGCTCATTAGAGAGCAGGCGGTTTTTCTCAAGCTGGCTGTACAGGCGCTCTGCAGCAGCGACAGGATAAGGGAAACAAGAGGAAGAGAGAAAAAGAGAGAAAGGGAAGGTTAGTAGAGCACCAAGATGAGCACATCAAACAAGCTGTCTCCATAGTGTGTGCTTCTGAGGACAGCCAGCTATTCCCAAAGGTTTGTCTTTCTCTAGATTGTGCTTCAACTCAGGAAGATCACAGGAAGCCAAGTGTAAGCAGAAGTGAAAGTGCTGCCAAAGATGTGCAAAGGCAAAGAAAGGAAGAAGAGACACCAGAAGAAGAGCCTGCAGGCAGGGCTGGGCTGGACCCCAGCAAGGACAGAGGTCTGGGATGTGCTTTAAGCCTGTGGAGCACGCTGTGGTGCTGCCACAGCCGTACCAGAAATAGCTTCCAGAGGGAGCCACACCACACTGCAGTGGGACTGACAGGGTTTGAACAGCAGGACAGGCACACCAGAAGAACTGGCAATGAAAACATCCCTGGCCTGGAAGACCCTCCTCTGAGAACATGCCTGGTGCCACACTAACAACCCAGTTAGGACTGGAGGCAGCAACTGCTTCAGGTACAGGACAGAGGGACTTCTGCAGCACAGAGTCCTCTTTTACATCTGCCCCACAACAACTCCACAGGAAGGGCACAAGCTGCCACTGCCTTTGCAGCCATGGCTTCTGCAGTCCCTGTCCTCAGAGCCCCACAGAGGTCCAGCAGCCACACACCTCCTCGAGCACTCATGCTCATCAGCACGCTTGGTCCCTCTCCAGGATCTGTCACTTCTCAGGGCTGGGTGGCAATGTCCTTCCACACAGCCTGTCAGCCACAACCAGCCACTACAGAGAACACATTCAGCACCTCTCCTGCTCATTTGCATGGGCAGAGTCCTCCCAGCCTGACAGCTCCAATTCCTGCACTTAGGGGAATTCCAGGCAGTAAAAAAACCTTACACAGCATCTTCCAGCCTGGCAGAAGTGACCAGCACCACCTGCAGTGACACACAGTGTGATGCCTCTGCTGGAGGAGTGAGCCTAGAGCACAGCCTTGGCCTTGGCCTTCCCCTCTAATCTTTCTATGAGGTCCTAAGACTCTCAGGCACCCCCTGAAGGGGAGTTACACCATTCCTCATTGCTTTCAATCTTGGAATATTTTGCTCTTGAATGAGACCTAGCTGGGTAAAATTCCAGAAAGTGGAGTGGTTTACATGGAGCAGCCAAAGCACATCACCCTCCCCAGAGTCTCAGCTCAGTCCCTCCAGTGTAACACCTGCACACAGAGGGGGAAGCTCAACTTCAGCTTCACTCTCAGCTTCTCTCAGCCCTCAGGACCCTCTAACTGCACCTCACTCTGCAGGAGAGGGCAGTAATGCTGATTGACTGTCCCTTCTTTAAAGCCACCAAGGGACCAAGGCACAGGCAGAGAAGCCAGTGAATTTTGACCTGCCACAATCCAGAATTTGAGGGAAGCTGTGGGTACCTGGCATCCTGGCCCGTGCCTTGCACAACAGCTGCTATTTCTGTGAGGGACTCTGGCTCCTTGCTGCTCTGAGCAGCCCCAGTGCCAGTCCCCAGACCTGAGTGATCCAGGCTGGTCCTGGGTGTCCCCAGTGGCAGAAGGTGAGAGTGAACTGTGCTCAGCAGGCCTTGGTGCAACAGCTCACAGCTTCCAAGCAAACATTCCTGCTTGGGTACAGGGACCTGATGATTCACCCACACAAGGCAGCAGACTGGAGTGTTTAGCATGACTAAACTTCCCAGACTTCAGGAACAGCTTCTCCACATAGAACACCTGCCCAGGTCTGCAGCAGCCACGCCATGTTTGGCCTGCTCCCTTCTCTGCCCTCCCCCAGGGCAGCCTCACCAGCTATCCCTGCCACTCAGGGAGCCCCAGGACGTGAGGAGCCCCAGGAGCTGGCCCTCCTGGTCAGTTAAGCTGTGTTTGCAGCACTCCCACATCACAGCACAGCTCACAGGAACCAGCCTGCACAGGCCCAGCAATCCAGTCAGACCAGATGCCTCCAAAACCTCCCAGGGTAACCATTGCATCACCCACCCACATATCCATCCACCACCCAGTGGATTCCTTCTGGATGAGTGGGGAAAGGGCCTGCCACAGCCCAGCCTTAGATAACATTCCTGGGAACACCACTGAGCAGAGCAGAGCCACCAGCTCCCCTCAGCAAGAGTCAGGATGCAGCCAGACCTCCCTGTGAGGAGAGAGGCACTTCCCCAGGGCAGGCTGCCACCTCCCACCACTAACATCACAGAAGGTGTGAGGTTGAAAGGGACCAGTGTGGGTTATCTGGTCCAACCTCCCTGCCCAAGCAGGGTCACCCCAGAGCACTTGGCATGGGATTGTGTCCAGATCATTCTGGAATATCTCGAGTGAGGGAGGCTTCACACGGTATCTGGGCAATCTGCTCAGTGCTCAGTTACCAACACAGGAAAGAAATTCTTCATCATGTTCAGGGTGAGATTTCCTGGGCATCAGTTTCCATGTGCTGCCTGTCCTACTGCTGGGCACCACCGAGCAGAACCTGCTCCATGCTCTGACACCCTCCCTTCAGATACTGACAGATAATGAAGCCATCCCTGTTGCTTAAAAGCTGACAATGGAACACTGGACTGGAAGCCTTCACATTTACAGAAGCCCTGCCCCTCCCACAGGATCCAGATCCTGAACTCAGCTGCAGGTGGGTTCCTGCTTACAGGGCACAGCCACTGCCCCATACCCCAGGAGAGTCAGCCCACTTGGAAATTCCTTGAATGCTCCCCCCGTTCCCCACCTGCCACCAAAGACAGAGTGGGACAGGCTGGGGCAGGTGAGTGTGCCTAGATTATCCTGAGTGCCAGTGCTGTCACGTGGAGACCAGAAGGGCACAAACCTGAGAAAGCCACGGGAAGTGTCCCATGTCACCAGAACTCTGCTCACGAAGGGCTCTTCGGGCACTGCAGTGGATGAACCGATCCAGAAAGGAAAAAGTATTTGACCAACCACCATGAGGCAGCACATAACGTTTTGAGAGGCTGACCAGTGTTTATCACACCACATCAACCAGCAACAGTACCAGCAGTGACACATGCCAGGCACTCACAGCCCAGTGCCAGTGCTTAGTGGGAAGCTCCATGCCACGCTCCTAAAAGGATCCTGCAGCCCCCAGTCCCTGTGTGGGGAGGGGAGGGCTCTGCAAAAGATTCCCTGCTCAGATGCTCACAGCCCTGCTGCAGTGCCTTCTCATTCCTGAAGCAAGAGACCACACATCCTTCCCCCTGGCACAGGCAGCACCTCACACCCAACCAGTTCTGCCCCAGTGGAGACCAGCCAGAGCTCACACAGTATTTATTGGCTTCCATACCCTGGCTAATGACTATCAGGTGTGTGACCTCCCACTGCAAGTCAGTGTTTGGCAACCAGTGCTGGTGAACACTCCAAAGCAGGCAGGAATGAGGAGTGTCTTCAGTCAGGCACAGCTCCAGGGCCTCCTGCTGCAACCCCCAGCCTCCAGTTTGACCCCACAGGCCCTGTCTGCAAAGCTGCCATCACATCTGGGAGCCAGTGACACACCTCAAAGAAAAATCCAGCGTGCTAGTGAGGTCTGTGCTCCACCGAGGGTGACACCAGTCTGAAGGCAATGCTGAGACAGTTACTCTAAAGCAGCAAGTGGTCACTAGAAACCCATTTCTCAAAAGCAACAGCCATTTATACAGGAACTGTTTTCCTTAAAAAAGGTGACATCATGCTCGAGCAAGAGGCAAGAGAAATACAAAAAGAGCTTTATGGCCCCACACAAGATATGCAGATGAGAACAACATCCTCCCCGCTCCCCCAACACAGAAAGGGCAGCCCCTCAGAGCAGGCTGTGTCTGGCACATCAGGTCACACAGAGGGAGCTTTGTTTGGGAGCAAGTGCAGCAGAACTGGGGGGCTGCTGCTTCCGTGTCTTTACAGCACCCATTCCCAGGGATGCCTGTGCACAGTAACTGGAAAAAGGTACTGGAATTCAGAGTGAGATGAAGAGAGCGTGAATGCCGGGTGCAGATGCAGAACAAGCCACCAAGCAGAGAGACAAATCCAAAGTGGAGTTTGGAACCACAAGACTTATCTGTGTGAGACAGAAGGAGACACTAATTTTAAGAAAAGCCTCAGTGTTTGTGCACAGCAAACTCTGCTTAGGGAACTTTGGGACACTCGTGTTAAGGCTACGGCTGGCCTCAAGAGTGTTCCTGAAGGACTGTGTGAAGCAATCGGAGTAGGAAAGGAACCCACCCTTGGATAGGCTGACTACCCAGTGGACTGAACTGCTGGGGATTTAACCTTGATTCAGGACTCACACTGGGGAGTCTGAGTCCTCAGGGGGGCTGTTTCAGACTCACTGACTTCTGTGGTTGACCTGCAAGACCCAATTTGCAGTGGCCAGCACATGCATGATGTTCTGCACACAAGTAGGTTATTGTGACCAGTTCTTACAAGAACAGGTGTTTCTTTCCTATGCCACTCCCAAATGAATTGGAGCAAGCTGGAGCACAGTTGTTGCTAGTTACATTCCTGAGGACATCACTACCAAAATAGTGAGACAAATCCAAAGTAGAGTTTGGAACCACAGGACTTATCTGTGTGAGACAGAAGGAGACACTAATTTTAAGAAAAGCCTCAGTGTTCGTGCACAGCATACTCTGCTTAGGGAACTTTGGGACACTCGTGTTAAGGCTCTTCTCTGTGGGGTGAGGACCTGGCCTAGATAGAAGCTATCTAGATAAGGCCAGGTGTCTGGATGAAGAGCTTGAGACCTGCTGCAGCACAGGGGAACTGTTTTCAGAGCAGAGGCACGGGACAGGACTCTTGCCAAGCCTCACCTTGGAGGCCAAGTGGGGTTATGCTCCAAGTAATGAGGAGCACAGCAGCCTGTCTGCTCTCCAGCTACCTGAGAGATAGCCCTCCTTAGCTTCTCACTCAACACACATTCCTTGGTTTCTCATCCCCAGAATGTACCTTCCAGATCATCAATGGTCTTCTCCAGCTTGGCTACAGAGCGTTCAGCAAATTCAGCACGGGTCTCCGCCTGCCAGGCAGAAATAAGCCAGTGAGTGCAACAGCCCTACAGGAAAGGGCACCAGTCCAAGGACATGGACTTCACATCTCTTCCCAGTCAGGCTGAGGCCAGCTCAGCCAGCTGGGCCACCCTGACATGGTCACTCACCTCTTTGAGTTTATCAGTCAGAATCTTGATCTCTTCTTCATATTTATCCTCTTTTTGAGAGTACTGTGGAAAAGGAGTCAGCAGTCAGCAGCCCCAGATACCTTCCTCTCCAGAGAGCCCACAACTACAGAGGGCAGCATAAACTCCTCACTGGAGCACACATGACAGCTTCCACCTGAGAGCTGTTCACATCCTCACCCAAGTCCAACAGGACTGGGTCAGGTGGCAAGTCTCACACCATGCATGGAACACAAACTTGGATGCAGAAAAATTCTCATCTTAACATTTTAGCAGCTTAAACATCCTGGCTGATTGAGTCTGCCCCAAGGCAGGGAAGGGCAGCCAGGCTTCCCGCACCCCAGCTTCCATGGCCCTCCAATGAAATACCTCAGCCCTCCCAGCAGAGCAAGCACTGTACTCCTGGCTTGCTTAAGACTGCAGTTGAATCATTTCCACCTCAGTGGGTGCTCTGCTGTTTACCCTCCTAGCACAACAGCAATGTTTCTGGCCCTGGGACAGGCAGCCCTACCTTCTCAGCCTGAGCCTCAAGAGACTTGAGATTGTTGGTGACATTCTTCAGCTCCTCCTCCAGCTCGGAACACTTACTGTGGGGTTTTGTAAGGAAAGGGGGAAAAAAAAAGGAAAAGAAGAAGTGGGAGGGAAAGACAGGAGACAAGAAGTGAATCCACGTGCAGGGAAGATCAGGAAATTCTTGAGGAGACTGTCTGAGATCAGACTGGATAGGACCCTGCTTTGAGGCACCTATGCAGAAAGCAAGTTCCCTTTTTGCCTCTGAGCTCATGTTTGAAATATTCTGCCAGCACATGCACGGGGCACAGAGCTGAGCAGTGAGATGTGGACACAGGTTTCTGCCAGACTTGGGAGTCTCCAAGGAGAAGCTTCACGTTTAGTGTGCTGTATGGAGGGAAGCTGTTCTGATGGACAGAAGGACAGCCACCACCACTCAAAAAGGGATATTTATGGGCAGAGAGGACAGAATGTTCCAGGAGAGAGCAAGAGAGAGACGCAGTTAAGCTGAGGGGAGGAGCATAGTGAGGAGACCACATGAGTTTTGGTTTAATGGTTCAAGAAGGGAAAGGTTAGTACCTTTTCTTCGGCAACAGACAGACACTTCAAGTTCTGGTCCATCACTCTGATCTGCTCCTGCAGCTCCCGGCAATGACTGTTAGTGACGGTCACACAGGGGCACAAGCCAGGTGGGGGCAAGGTCAAAAGGAGCACCAGAACCACACCACCACAAAGCAAAAAAGGGTGTGGGGGGAAACACAAAAAAGTCATGGTCACAACATGCACATCTGGGCGGGAAGCACAGTGCTGCTGCTGCTGCATACACACCAACTGTGTTAGACAAGGCCCAGAGCACAGAACAGCCCTGACCAGCTCCTCAAGGATCAGCTAAAGCACCCGGACACATGAAAGGAGCCCAAACACCAGGATTTGTGTCTCTGCTCTGAGCAGAGGAAGCCCAGATTTCTGCTCAGCAGTGCAGAAGCCTGTAGTGATTGCTGCAAATACTTGGAGAGGCCCAGAGACCAGCCTCAGCCACAGCTCTGCCCTCAACCACCCCATATGCCACTCCAGTCCCTGGCCCAGGAGGCCTCTGCCACTTCAGTGCAAGCACTGTGCTCTGCAGCAGTGTGAACGACCTTGTGACTGCACACACAAAGAAGTGCTGGTGAATGCTGAGCAGAGGAAGGCCCTCCAGCCTCTGTGACTAGGGAGTGAGTCCATGCAAAGGGGCAGAGTGTCTCCACCCAAGGCAAATCACATCACAAACTCAGTGTCCTAGGTGGAGCTAATCCTGTTTCAAGGAGGGAAGTGCTTTCATTGCTTTCCTTCGCAGACCTAAACCCACCCTGTGCTTCAGGCCTTGTGTAACAAGGTTAGCAATGCAGTGTTAGTTCCCATGCAGAGGCAGACCTGCCAGGTACATGCAAGCAGACTACTCACGACTCTGCAAGCTCAGCTCTCTCTTCAGTACGCTCCAGATCCCCTTCAATGATCACCAGTTTCCGAGCAACCTGGAAAGGACAAACAGAGTCAAGAGGAAGGAGGAGAGTTTTGTGCTTGTAGGCTCTGCAGAGCAGTGAAGGGAAGGAATGCCTGCAGGAGCCACTGGAGCTGTTGGAGGCTTTTGGCCAAGCAGAGCACTGATGTGGCTCTGCTGAGAGCCAGGCTCTGCCCCTAGGTTTGCTATCAGCAGGAAGAGTCTCCCGGCCCAGGTCAGTCATACAGAGCACCCAAGGGTCTCACCTCCTCATACTTCCTGTCTGCCTCCTCTGCAATGTGCTTGGCTTCTTTGAGCTGGATTTCCTGCAGTTCCATCTTCTCTTCATCCTTCAGAGCTCTGTTTTCAATGACTTTCATGCCTCTGCCCAAAAGCAAGCACAGGGAGGGGAGATGTGTGAAACAATCTTGACAAGGCAGCAGTGCAATGAGTTCCAGAGCATTAACAGCAGTGCCCTGGAAGCACAGTGCTTCTCAATAAGCCATGATTCTTCTGAATGCAAAAGGCAGAGGCCTCTGGGCTGATGTGAATACAGCCACCTCAATTGCTTGGAATTAACTGTTCTTTGGAACATTCCCCCAGCAGATCACTGGGTTCCCAGGCCAAGGGGAGTGCAATGCTGCTGAGAACAAGCCCAGCTGTCTTAGAAACTCGACACAGCCAAGTCAAGCACTTCCCCATCTGGAATGAAGGAAGAGCCAAGTCTGTCTCTATGGCAGGCTGCTCACGGTGTGTGCAGGAGGAAGCACATCAGACAGCTGGAAGTGGACCACTCCCCTCTGAATCACAGGCCAGGTCAGGGGACATCTGCCAGTTAGGGAGCATGCTGGCAGAGAGGCTGCCCTGCCCCACCAGCAGCCACCTTTACATGGCAATGGTGTCCCTGAACCCCTGCATTTCTCCTCCTTTGGAGGAGGGGATGTGTGGTGGCACATGGCACTTCCTCACTCCCTAGCCTCAGGTTCCAGGCCAATCAAGGCCATCAGCAGCCTCAGGTTCATCTGCATTGTTTTAGCTGCTCTGCATAAGCAGGCACTGACTCCCACATGCAGCCTTGATGTGGGATCTCCTCCCCACTCTGGGAAGCCCAAAAAGTTGGTGGCATCGGACCCTCAGTGTTTGACAGAGTGCAAGCAGGAGTCCTTGCTCACCTTTCGCTCTCATCTGCCGCCTTCTCTGCCTCTTCCAGCTTCTGCAGAGCTGTGGCAAGGCGCTCCTGAGCTCGGTCCAACTCCTCCTCTACCAGCTGGATACGGCGATTCAGAGATGCCACTTCTGCCTCAGCCTGGAGGGAGCAGAGGAGGGCACTCAGCCTGGGCAGGTTTAGCAGCTCAGGCAGGGCAGCTGAGATCTGCCAAGGGGTCAGCAGCAGCACACGGGAGCCCAAAGCAAACCCAGGATGCTTCAGCCACTCTCCCAGAGGCTAGCAGCACACTTAGCTCGGCAGCCTTCCTGCAGGCTTCTCGTCGTCAGCCTGAACTGCTCTGAGTTGAAGCCATAAACACTGAGGAGATGACTTACACCAAGGGCTGCCTCTGCAGCTGCCAGGATCCTGCCAGGCCATTCATCACAGCCCTGTTTATCCACCACACCAGAGGGTGCTGACAGCTGCCACTTAGCAGAGAGTCAGTTTACTGGTGTGATCCGGACATGAGCGTTGCTTGAGGCAAATCCTCTCACCAGCAAGGTGAGAAGGATTAACATGTTCAGGGATGTGCCAAGCTGTACTGGGTGCTGGCAAGCTGGGCTGGTCACAGGTGCTGCCCAGCCCCAGGGCTTATTGCTGCAGAGCCCACAGCCCCAGCAGAGATCCTGCAGTGCTTGAGGCTTCCTTCCTCCCAGCAACTCACTAATAATCCAAAGAAGGAGCAAAAGCCTACCCCAGTCTTGAGACAGGTTGAGGAGGCTGTTCCCCAGCAATAGCTGCCTTGGTTCAGTCATACACCTTGGGAGCTGGTGAAACTGCTGACAGCCTGCAGACATTTGCCAGAAATGTGACTGAGGCTTTAAGGTACTGGCACAGATCAGAGGCCATCCCACCTCCCAGCCACTGCAATCCATGTCCTAGTCAGTCTTCAAAGAGGCCACAAGGTACAAGCCAGCCCCCATAGTTCTGTTTTGGCAACAGAGATGGTGGGGAACACAGACCATGCAGCTTTGTTCTCAGTTCCTCACTCGTGTGGCAGAGCCACTCGTGCTCAGTAAGGCAATCCAGCACTGCCATCACCCTGTGGCTTGCTCCAGCGTTGAGTGAGAACACAGCCAGGGCACATACAGAGGACAGGAACTGCCCTTCAGTGTTGCTGAAAACAAAGCACCTCAAGGCCAAGGATGAAAATCCCTTCAATGGCACTCCTCTTCTGGATCAGACCCAGACTAAACAGTCAACTAGAGACTCGCTGCAATCTTTTTGGGACCCTGGGGGCATGACCTGATTGGCTGTGGGGAGGGTCCCTGCTTAGAGCCACATCCACTCCAGCCAAAGCCCAGGGGAGCCCAGACGCTTTAGGGACTCTGACATCCCACTGGAGCCCCCTGGGGAATCCAGAATCCTGCTCTCCAACAGGATTACAAAGGCAGCCAGGAGTGCAGCCATTCCAGGGCAGCACTGTGATCTTCTGCAGAGACCCGGGCACAGGCACATGCCAGACTAACAAGAAATACTCCAGCTGCACATAACAAAGCACCCTTCCCGGCCACACCGTGCCGAGGAGGGAGGAGCAGAGTGATGAAAGGCGCCAGTGTTACAGTGGGGTCCAACACCAGTTGCATCCAGTTCCCAGAGGGGCTGCCCGAGCTCTTCCACCCACTGGCACCGAGGCTCCCCTGGCAGGTTCCAAGGCCAGCCTGGAGAGCACAGAGCAGCTCCCATGCAGGTGCACCCGGCTCCGGAGAAGCCCACACCCCTTTGGTGGGCAGAGCCAACACCCACCCGGCTGAAAGGGGAAGTGGTCTGCCTCAAGAGGAGCACAACAATACCTTAAACAGAACCAGGAAGGAGACTGCCTGGCTGCATCTTTGCCCTTTTAAAGGGGCTACCAGCTGTTGAGGTGGAGGACATCCTCCTTCCTTCTCCCAGGCTATGGAGACACACCAGTATAGTGGGCCTCCACTTCTTGACCCTTTGAACTGCATCACTCAGTCCTGACTTCCTGCAGGCAGTGTACAACCCAAAAACCACGCAAAAACCATCCTTAATTTTGAGGAAGTGCCTCTCTCCTGCTGCAGCAGGGCCCTTACACCTCCTGTTCTGCTGCTTCTCTCTAGATACAGATGAAACTGTCAGGCTTCCCCAGAGCACGGGCTGACTCTTCCACACCCCCCCTGCTACAAGTGGCACACTCCTGTTTCCTTCACAAAGGCAGCCCTGAACCACGGCACACCTGCAGCCCAGCAAATCAAGAGAGAAGCTCATCCAGGCCACCACTGCTGCCCCAAGAGAGTCAAGAGGACTCCCCAGGGGCCAGGCAAGTCCTGGGCACCATACTGGGAGCACTGGTTCTCTCCCCCGAAGGAGGTTCAGGGAGCAGGGAATAATACGCCTGTACCCGTGACAATGCTGCTATTGCAAGGAGAATTCCTTATGTGGCTGCAAAGAAAGAGCCAGCTGAGGCCTGGGAGTGGCAGGAGCTTCTGCCACGGATCCGGGCAGCAGAGCCCGATCCATCCCTGGCAGTGCCACAGCGCTGTCACAGACACAGGCTCGGGCACTCGGGGGGAGCACGCAGCTTCACGCTTCAAATGCAGCGAAGTCACTGCAAATCCAACGAGAGTCACGCTTAGATTCGAGCAAGGACCTGTCCCCAAAACGCCACCAGCCTTGCCCGTGTCCCAGGCCCACGGGAGGCGGCCACCGGGAGGTCCTGCCCGTGTCACCTCACCCCTGTCCCCGCTTTCCGGTGCTCCCAGCCCGGCCGTGAGCGAGAGCGCTGCCAGCTCAGACCCTGCTGTCGTCGCTCCCTCCTCCCTTCCAGGCACTCCCAGCCCAGTCCCTGCCTTCCCCCGCGGCTGCCCGTCCGGGGGGCAGCGGAGAGCCCCGCTCGCCGGGCTCCGGGGCTCGGGAGGGCCCCCCGGGCTCCCGCGCTGGCCGCATCCCGAGGGAGCCCGCTCGTTCCTTCCATCTTACCCGCGCATCTCCGGGCTCGGGGCCGCACAAGATGGCCGGGGCCTCCCCCTCCCCCCGACCAGGTCCTCCCCCGCTGCTGTCCGTCCCGGGACACCGGGAACAGCGAAACAACGACAGGCCGCCCCCCCGCCCGGTATCTGCTCGGCACCACGGGCGGGTCCCAGCGACCCAGAGAGAGCCACGGACACAGAGCGAGAGCCCCGCTCCCGGCGGACACTTCGGCCCGGGCCGGCATCTCGCCGGCAGCCCCGCGGCTCGGAACGACCCCCGGCCCCGGGCGCTCCGCCCGTCCGGCTCTGCCCCCGCGCGGCGGCGCCGGCGGTACCTGCTCGCGGTTGCGGCGCTCGGCTTCCACCTCCCGCTGCAGCCGCTCCGCCCGCTCCTCCGCATCGTCCGCCTGCTGCTGCAGCACCTGGATCTTGCGCTTCACCGCCTCGATAGTGGTGGCCCCGGCCATGCTCGGTCCCTCCGCTCCAGCCCCGCCACCCCCAGACACCGGGACCGCGCCCGGAACGGCCGGACGGAAGTGACGTCACTTCCGCCCCGCCTCGCGGCCGCGTTACCGGGGAGATGAGGAGCGGCCGCCGCGCCCGGGGCGTGGCGGGGCACCGGGACCGGCACCGACGGGAACGGGGCACCGGCACCGGGCGGGGGACACAAATCGGCACCGGCGGGCACGGGGCACCGGCACCGGGCCGGGGGGGAACACGGGGTGTGTCCCACGGGCACCTGGTTCCACCGGGACCCGCCCCATATGGTCGTGGGGGCACCGGGACTGGCCTCACATGTCCCAGGGAGCAGGCACGGCCTCACAGGGCCCGGAGGATCCACCCGGGCCCACACTGGCTTCCCGGCCCTGCCCCACGGAACCCCCCTCGCGCCCGCCCCGCTCGGACTCCCCTCGGCCCCGGGGCTGCGCTCGGGCACGGCCCCGCCGCGGGTTCGGGCACCGCCACCCCGGCGGAGCCCCCAGAGTCTGCGGGGCCAGGAGCCCACAGCCCTGCAGCAGATCCTGCTCCTTCCTTCCACCCGGAGCAGGGCTGCGGCCGCCAGGCTCCCGCTCCACTTCCATGTGTGAAATCCCACCGGTGCACCGGCCTGAGCCGAGGTGAGAACCCTCCCGTGGCAGGGCAGATAATGCTGCGAAGATCAGCGTTCGCCAGAGCTGGGAGCTGTGTTCCTCCGTGTCGTGAGGGTCATGGATCCCCCCAGGAGCTCGATAAACACGTCACTGAGCCCTGTTACTGCTCTCATTCCCCACAAAGCCTATTCGTCAATGCTTCAAGGGTGTGGATAGAAGGGAAAGGCTCCGGGCTGCCTGTCTGAATCCCTCGGCAGGGACATTTGCCTGGCATGGCACATATGGCATGGCATGTTTCCAGGGGTGAGATGGGCATCGAAAGGGTTCTGTTGGGCTGGAAGCACCCAGGAGGCAGCTCTGCCCTTTCAGTGCTCCAGGCTGCAAAATCCCTCCACTTCCCAGAGCCGGGGGAAACTGGGGGACCCCCATGGGCCACCGTGGGGGCAGCAGCCAGGAAAAGGGGCTCCAGGTGCACAGAGAGGGATCCACCAGGAAGCAAGTGGAGATGTGGTGACAGCAGGGAAAATGCCAACAAGGAGCAAAGGGGGCAAGAAGGGTGTGAGTGTGGGAAAGGGCTGCTAAGAGCTCTGCAATACTGCACTCAACACAAGCCAGTTCCAGTCCAGGACTGGCCACAGGGACCGGCAAGCAAAGCTGCAGGGTTGGAGATGTTCCAGGGCTCTGGAGCTCCCAGGCAGAGCAGCCCAGGTGCTGTGCTGGGGCTCAGGCACTTCCCCACCACGAGCACGGTGGGAGAGAACGACTCCTGCCTTCTCTCCATCAGAGCTGGGCTGCATGGCTCTGACACTGGACCCTGAGCCATGCCGGCCTCTCAAGGACTGCCAGGTCCTGACAGGTGACGAGCGGGGCCTCATGCCTCTGGATGGCAGGAGAGCGGCCGCTGGCTGAAACCCTGCACCGCTCGCACCATTGTTTTCCTGGAAACAGCGGACAACAATAGCCGGGCTGTGCAATGCTCACGCTGCCCATGGGCCCCCGCCCGCAGGGGGATGAGGGTTCTCCCCTCCTCCTTCTCCTTCTCAGAGCTCGGCTCCACCACCCCCAGCCGTGACTCAGATTTTCCTGGGGACACGTGGACCCCTTATCCCGTACTTGACGGGCTGCTCGCTGCCCGGCTCTGCCCTCCGGATTCGTCTTTCCCAGGGCCATTCTCTGCTCCTAGACACCTACAGAGTTTTACCGGGAGCACACTAAGGGACAGGGACTTTTCCTGTGTCCCCAAGGCATAGGGAAGAGCTGCAGTCCCCCCAGGAAGGGGGGCAAGGCAGCACTCAGCTTCCACCCTGCACCCCATACATACGTCCGCCGCCTTCTTCTCTGCCAGCTCCAGCTTCTCCTGGGCGTCTTTCAGGGCCTCAGAGTATTTGTCCAGTTCATCCTCTGTCCCCTTTAGCTTCTTCTGCATGGCAGCTAGCTCATCCTCCAGCTGGAAGGACAGTGGTGTCACTACAGGTGGACACCACTCTGAACCCCTGCACCCCAAGAGATCCCTGCCTGCCCATCCCAGACTCGGCTCTGCCCCATGGCATCCCTCCTGTCCCTTCCTTGGGGCCAGCTCTGCCCCACAGTGTCCACCCCATCCCTACATCCCACCAGCTGGCAGGGACTGAGCCCTGGACAGCCCTCGGAGTGTCCTTGAGCTGTGGGATAGTGGCAGCTGTCACACTCTCATACCCCAGGCAGAGTCTCTGTTGGGTCTGGGCTCAGCATAACCCAGCACAGCCACCCCCACCACCCCTGGGCTGGGGGCTGTGGCTGTCTGCCCTACCTGCTTGCTCCGCTCCTCCGCCTGCTTCTGCTCAGCCTCCGCCTGCTCTGCCCGGTCCAGGGCGTTTTCCTTGTCCAGCTTCAGCATCTGCATCTTCTTCTTGATGGCCTCCATCCTCGGTGGCACACGGGCAGCGGTGGGCAGCGGGATGCAGACAGACAATGGGTGGCTAGAGCAGCTGTGTTGCCTGTGCCCCACTGACCGTTTATCAGCTCTGCCCAGCACAGCGGCTTTGCCTTTCTTGGGCTGACCCGCCTCCCCACCTTCCCAAAAAGTCTGTGCTCGGGACCCATTGTGTGTCCTGGGGGCTCCGGGTGGTCACAGCCTTATTTGGGCTCCCGAGGACAGCTGGGGCGTTATAAAAAGCAGCAGCAGGTCTACGAGAAGGGGTCCTGCATTGTTCCAGGTGCCCCCTCCCTCCATGCAACGGGACACCCTGGCTGGTGCCCGAGTGCTTCCTCAGGATGTTGAAATAGGTCCTTGCAGCACTGACATGAAGTCCTCGCCCCCCATTTGCCTTCCTAGGGTGGCCTAGAATGTTTTGGTAGCCCTGGGCTGACATTTACCCCTGCCCGGGGGCGGCGTAGAAAAGGGCAAGATCATCCTGGCACTATTTTGGGAGCAGGGGCTTGGCCGAGAGTGTTTGGCTCTGCAGGGAGCATCAGGGGAAACTGCACCCAGCCCGGGAGCCTGCTGAGCCCAAGCCCAGCTCTGGCTGAGGTGGTGCTTGGTGCTGAGGTGGAGGATGCTGTTGGCAGCTGGAGGAGCAGATTCCCCAGGCGCTGGGAGAAATACTCAAGGCAAGTGGCGGCACTTCATCTGCAGCTGAGGGATTTGCAGCCTCCTCGTGCCGGCCCAGAGGTCCCACTGGCCCCATAAATCAGGTTAGGATCTCCCATGGAAGAGACCCACTGCTCCCACCCAGGGACAGATGTTGAGGGCTAAAGGGGTCAGCACCCAGCGATGCGAGGGACAGCTGGTGGCAGCTCTGGGTACCCTGGGCAGGGCACTGGAGGGGACAGTGCCCACCAAGGGCCCTGAGCAGTGGCTGCATCTCCATAAATAACCCCCCCCCCCCCATGCCAGGGCAGTGGAGGCAGTGCTGGGCACAGGGCCACGGGCCTTTGTATTGTCATCATCCCTGGCGTGAGCGGGGGGACAGGTGGCAAGCGTTGACCCCGCTGCCATCCCAAACCTCCGCCAACCCCCAGGACAGCTCTGGGCTCCCCCTCTCAATCCTGTGGAGATGGGCAGACAGGTTTTATTGCAGCAGTGAGGACTAGCAGAGGGTGCAGGACAGGGTGCAGAGGGTCCCCCTGCCTGAGACACGGCACAGGCAGCATCTGGCCAAGTCAGTGCTGGGCGTCCCTGGCGCTGTAAGAATATGTTTGATATTTAGTTGGTTTTCCAATAAAACAACCTAATATCAAACATATCAGACAGAGGCAGGGGCAACTCCCTCCGGGAGTTGGGAGGACCCGGAGCGCAGCTGCCTGTAAGAGAAAAAGAAGAATAAGCTGAGAGCTGGGGTGGGAGTGGTATCCAGGTATAACTCCCGAGGCACTGCAGTGGCAGCGCCACTTACCTCAGTGCCTGGAGCCTGCTGGGCAGCTGTGCTGGTACTGGGCTGCTTGGGATGCAGTGCTGGAGCAGGAGGCATCCTGTGGCTGGGATGAAGCTGGAGCAGGGCAGTGCAGGCTTGGTCTCCTGGCGTGGCATGTCAGGGCACACCTTGACATGCACTGGCATGGAGTAGCATGCCATGGCAGGCAGCGCTGGGGCCAAAGGGACCCCACATCCATCACCATCTTACCGGGGCTGGCTTGGGGGACTCTGCTGTGCTCTGGCTTGGGGGTCGCCTGGCCGCCGTTTATAACTGCGCTCGGCTGCACCGAGCGGAGGGACGTGGCCAGCGACAGCCCTGGCCCGGCACACGTGGCCTCGTTCCCATTAATTACCACCCATTGACGTCCCCCTGCCCCCTCCACAGACCCCCGCGCCCTTGCCGCCCAGCACTGCCGGTCGATGCGGTCGATGGCCCCGCGCCGCCTGCTCCTGCCCCTGGTGACACTCCCTGTCATTAGCGGGGCTGTCAATACTGGGGGCCAGCCCTGGCCTGTGGGCCCTGTGCCACCGAGGGGCTGCACATGACCCTGCCCAAGGACGAGCCCCATTGACACAGGAGAGTTGTGCCTCACATCCCCTTGCTTTGGGGGAGCTGCTGGAACTCACAGGGATATCTCTTCCAAGGAGCAGCTGGAGGGGCTGCCTGTCACCCTGCTGCATCCGTGTTGAGGATGTGGCCTCACCCATGCTGGGTGAGAGGCAGGACCCTGACCACACTGAAGGAGCTGCTGGGACCAGGGTGGTGTGTCCAATGACAAGGGCACATGGATAACATGGAGTGATGGAAGCACAGCCTTCCCACACCACAGCAGTGCTTTGCTGCAGTGGGATGCATCAGCCTCGGGAATGGCACTGGGAGCTTTGTGAGGACCAATGGGACAGGAGATGGGGCAGCCAGAATCCTGAGTGCCATGGCAAAGACAGGGACACAGCCTGGCCTTGGGGGTCAGGGGCTTCAGCCTCCTGAGGTGGCCACACGATGAGGTGGCAGTGGGGACAGCAGGGACACACGTGGCAGCAGCAGTGCCAGAGCCGGGGGCGTGCGCGTGGCGGTGGGTGATGTGATGCAGCCCGACAGCCGAGCTAATGAAGGGCCGTGGGGGGGGGTGCTGGCCCAGCAGCCGCCAGCCCTGTCAATAAGCAGAGCCAGAGCAGGCACTGATGGGCCCTGGGGCTGGGAGACACCAAGGTCAGGCACAGGCAGAAGGGATGGGAGGTGGGGGACAGGCCCTCCCAGCTGGGGAGCAGACAGGGATCCTGGGGTGCCTGGATGGGACAGGGAGCATTGCACCCAGCCCAGCCAGGTTCCTCACCCTGCTGCTGCAGGGCTGTGCCACACGGCGTGGAGCGCTGTGGCACAGCATGGCACAGCAGGACTGTGCTGGGACAGGGACCCGGTGTGGAGCACCCAGCCTGGTGAGGCATGCTGGCCGTGCTGCCATCTCCTGGCACAGCCATGGGCAAGATGAAGCATGTAGGATCCAGGACACCCAGGGTTGCAGGCGACATGTCTGGATCCCAGCCACAGGAATTGTGCTGGGCTGTGTCTTCCCCCCACTGCTGCCCTGGGCTGTCCCATGCCTCACATGCAGCAGACACAGCCCGTCTTGCTCAACATGTTTTATTCTCAGTCAGAACTGGGCGATGCCAGGCCAGTGCCACGCACTGGGCTGAGCACTCAGAGCCGCTCCACATAGAAAGCTTTCTCCTGCTGGCGCAGCTCCTGCTGGTGCTGTAGGTGCTCATCCAGGACGAGCTGGCACAGGGCGTCTCGGCGGATCTGCCAGGCACAGGGACAGTGCTGAACCCCCACATCCCCCTGGCTCATCAGCGCTGGGAGACAATGTTCCCCAGGACAAGGGGGGCACCCACCCCTGGCAGCAGAGGGCTGGGGGACCCCAGCTGTACCCAACCAATGCCCAGCCTCACCGCTGCCTGCTCCCTGCCTGCAAGGTGCAGCTCCAACTCCACGCACTTCTTCAGCCGCGACTCCATGATCCACTGCAGCACCCCAAGGGACGATGCCCAGCACTTTGGGTGCTCCCTGGCCCCCTGCCCACCACTATTGAGACACAGGGTGGGCAGGTCAGGGATGCAGAGATGTTCCCCCCAGCCTGCCCTGTGCTAGGGCTCCTCATCAGCACGGGGAATTCAGCCCCCAGGGCACTCTGCCAGCTCTACCTCCTCAGGAGCTCTGCTAAAGCATTCCCATTCGCCTGGACCTGCAAACAAAGAGCAACGTTCCTGTGGCCCGGGGTTTAACACTGGAGCCCACTGTCTCCACCTGCTCCCAGGACAGCTTCCATCTTCCCAGCCCCTGCCCTGTCTGACCTCCTCCTGCCGCAGTGAGGAGCTCTGGCTGTTCGGTACTGCCATGGCCAGTGCCACAGGGCCCCTGCAACGGCCCCCTGCAGCACCAGGGTGTTAATGGAATACTGGGCAGTAACGGCATCCTGGTTACAGTAACAGCCTCCCAGTTACTGTAATGGTGCCATCCTGGTTACCATCACTGTATTACTGTCATGGCACCTCAGTCACCACAGCAGTAATGGCAGCATCCTGGCTACCATCAATGGCATCCTGGTTACTTCGTAGCAGCTTCAGGAGGGACACAGCCTGGGATCGGGGAGGGACGGGGCCCTGCAGTCAGAGGCCAGTGGCACACATCCTACTTGAGCTAAACTGTCATTTTATTAAACAGTAATTAAAAAGTGCCGAGGTCTGTACCCTCCACTCTGTGTCGCCCACGCCACAGTGACGGGTGAGCTGCCGGTGCTGTCCTCAGCCTGACAGAAGGCAGACTCAAGGTGGGGGCCACGAGCTTTCAGCCCCAGGAGCTCGGCAGACGCTGGCATGCGAGGCGCTGGTGAGAGTGGGAGCAAACACCCCCTTGGCAGAACGGATGGGACATTTAACACCGCTTTGTCCACTCGAGACGTCCCCAAATGCCTGGTTGCAGGAGAATGAGTAGAAACCTCAGCCCAAAGCGGTAGCTTAGCCATGGTGCTAAGAACAGGCACCAAACTATGTCTACCCCATCCAAGCGCACAGGCTGGCTGGGCACAAAGGGCTGACAGCAGGAACAATGACGTCATGGGGAAAAGTGTTCACCCTTCAGAAAAAACAGACAAGTGGCTCCAGTGCCCAAGACCCTCACGGACAGGACGGACAAACATCAGCTCCCGCCAGCTGCCGCAGGGAAGGACGGGCGGAGGGGAGCGCTGGCTGGGATCCATGTCTTTATAAATAAGCTCAAGCTCATGAGTTTATTCACAGGGTCCAAGACAATGCAGGACTCAAAGGCTGGAGTGTCATAAGCCTGTGGCAGAGAAGGCCGTGGGGCTGATCCCCATGGGCTCAGCAGCTCCAGAATGGGCTCCTGGCGAGGGCCAAACTCCAGCAGCTGGAATGGAGCCCCTGCCGAGTGATGACCTCCGAAGTGGGGTGAGGGGGAGATCTGAGAGTGCAGCTGGTTCCTCTCAGTGCTGCCTGCACTGCAGCACAGACCCGCCCAGCATACCCACTGCACCAGGCCCCCGCACGCTCACAGGGTGCTCTCCAGTGTGTTGTAGTTGTCCTTGAAACTCTTCAGCTCCAGGAAGTGTTTGGCACGTTTGCTCTTCTGGCTGGAAGGAAGGTAGGTGACCTGGATGGTGGTGGGGTTGGAGACTTCAGGGGACAGCGTGAGGTCTTTCACTGCTGACTGGTGCTGCCGCTGGCTGCTGCCGCCCCGGGCCTTGGTGCTGCGGGCAGAGAAGAGGCACCATCATTGCTGCTGCTGCTCCAGAGCAGCTGCTCAGCCTGTGTATCCGTCTGTCCAACATGAAGCAAATCTGCTCTCACGATGACACCACTCACTGAGGTCTTGGCATCTAAAGCTACTGGCTCTGTGCAAGTCCCTGACTCAAAGTGGTCGGGACAAGCAGCAGTGGTGACTGTGACCATGGAACAAACCCAAAACTGCAGTAACGGATGGGCTGCAAGAAAGGACTGAACCCAGAGGGCCAGATGGGCACAGACAACCCCTGTCTCAGATGACACCTGTGCCCTAAACCCACCTCTGTTCACACCTTCCCACAGGCTGCTGGGGCCCAGGAACACTGGGCAGCAGCACTTACATGTTTGCCAGTTCATTCAGAGCCTCCTCATACTTCAGATATTCCGTTTTCCCAAAGACCTGGATACAAACAGAAAAGACCATGGAACATCCAGCTGAAGTCAGGGTGTGAGCTCAGTCCCAGCAGCAGGGCAGTGCACAGGAATGCCCCGTGGGGATGGCAGTGCCCCCAGCACTCACCCCAGTGCCATAGCGGGCGCTCTCGTAGCCATCCAGCAAGGTGTCAATCAAGGCTTTGCGGATGCCTTTGAAGGAGGTGCTGGAATTCCGCAGCTCCAGCAAGTAGGCACAGAAGTTCTTCCCTATTAAAGACTTTGGGTACCGAGCCTCTACTTGGAACGGGATTTCTGGAAAAAGGCACAACTGCTGAAGCACAGGTAAAAATGCTTGTGCTCATCCCTAAGGTCAGGAGCCACTGCCTGCATAAATTTCCATCCATGCCCACTGCCCCAGCACATGGCACGAGCCAACCCTCAGGCCACCAGTGGGAGAAGTGACTGCTACTCCCCAGTGAGCACCTGGAGCTGCCCAACAGGGCTGTTGGCACTCTCATTCAGGCTCTCTCTGCACCCTTCTGCTCCCACTCTTGCCCTGGGCCCCCTTACCTGATGTCCTGATTGCATCCAGTGCTTTCATCCTGTACAGGTAGTTATAGCAGCCTGGTAGAGGGAAAGCACAAACTGAGATCTCTGCAAACCCTGGAGGGAAGTGGGGAAAGGGAAAACAGGAGAAGAGACACCATCCCATGTGACAGGACACCAACAGGAGCAGTGAGGGGCATGACTGAGCCCCAGGGAACAGTGCAGGACAGACCTCTGGCACAGTACCTGGTGTCTCCAGCTGCAGCAGCCGGCCGTCATCCTCTGCCAGCAGCCGTGGCTCGTACTTGATGTCCTGCACCCTGGACAGTCGAATGTCAATCTCTTCCTTTAAATCCTGTACAGCAGGAAAAAAAACGTTTACAGACCACTCCTTTGTTTGTGGGACCAAAAGGATAAGAACAGCCCTAGATAAACTGCACCCTCCCCACTGCCTATCAGCACTCTGAGGCAGCAGCTCCTGCACGTCCCTAGAGGCACGGATGGGTGCAGGGCATGGAGAATACCCACCTTGGGTGCGTGCTGTCCCACGGGCACGTGGGGGCCACGGCGGGACTTCATGGCAAAGCGCATGATCTGGCGTTTCACGAAGATGAACAGCAGCACAAAGACCTGCGGAGCACAGCGGGGCGGGGGTCAGGCGTGCGCCGGGGGGGAGGTCTCACAGCCGGCCTGTGCCCACCCCTCCGGCTCCTGCTTGCCAAGCCCCTCCGACCCCGGCGAGCACAGAGCTCCCAGTTCAGCCCACTGGGAGCCCCACGGACACTCAGGTCAGCCCCACACCCTCCCGATCTCCACAGAGGCTGCCACTCACGCCCCCTCCCCGCCCCACCGACCCCAGGAGCCCACGGGCGCTCCAGCCCCATGAGAGCCCCGAGCCCGACTCCGAGGGGCTCCCCACAGACAGTCCGGGACGTGTCTCACGGGAGCCTTCTCGACCCCTCGGGCCCGGGCCCACGGCAGCTCCACGGACGCGCCAGGATCAGCCTCGCGGGGGCTCCACGGACTCGCGTGGTGCGGCCCCGCGGACACTCCAGGCCGCACAGACACGCCAGCCCGCCCCGCCCCGTCCCGCCGGCCCTCACCAGGCTGCCGTAAGCCATGACCAGCACCACGTTGACGCCCGAGAGCCAGTTGCTGCCGGCCGCCGCCATGCCCGGCCCGGCCCGGGGCCGCACAACATGGCGGCCACAAAGCCGCCCTGCGCGCCCGCCACGTGACCAGAGGAGCCCCGCTCACGTGATCCGTACGGGGCCGCCGCAGCGGCCCCGCGTACGTCACGTGCTCGGCGTGGGCAGCCCCGCCCCGCCCGGTCACGTGCCGGGGGCGGGGTCGGGGGAGTTGTCAGTGCGGGCGGACCCAGGTAAAGTTGCGGCGGCGGCGGCGGCGGCTCCGGTACCGCGCGGCCCCTGAACCCGCCCCCGCCGGCTCCCGCCGCCGCCCCCTACCTGCCCGGCCTCGCCGCCTCCCGCCCACCCGGCCCAGCTGCGTCCGGTGCCCCGGGGGCGGCTCTGAGCCCCGCCGCCGCCGCCGCTGGGCCCCGCGCGGCCTAGTGGGCCGGGCCGTAGCCGGGGGCTGGCGTAGCGCGCGGCCGCC